TGTTTTTTTTTTAAACTCCACGCACGGTGCAGGAAGTCGCTTTTCTTGCTTTTAAACGCACTTTTATTTGAACTCATTAGAGTATCTGAAATATTCAAACATGCACCCATATTCCAACACTCCATCCATGCACTGACCCATTACCCCACCTATCCATACACCCAACCATCCATCCATACATCCATCCAGGCATCCAGCCACCGACCCGTCCATCCATCACATACCATCAACCACGCATCCACTGAACCAGTGGAGATTTCCATTTTAAAAACCTGCGAACGAAGTCGATTCTCCTGTCTTTAAAAAGCATCTGAAAAATCTATGCTTATTTTCAAAATTGATGCATCCAACAATTCAAGGTTTGAAGGTTTGAACACCGGATCAACATCATGGCACACGGGTTCTAACCCATTAGTGCTCCGTTCTTCTTCTAACTCAAGTCTGAGTCTGAAGAAGCTCACCAGAGTGCACAGGCTCTGTAGCACCGGCGACTATCCTGAAATACTTTGGGTAGATTTTTAACTCCAAATTTTGCCTGGGGAGCGCCGTTAGGTTACCCTTTTTGATTTCCAACTGCCAAAGGATTTTTTACGAGCGGAACAATGCACACGGGGAATCACTAGAAGCCCACCAAGTCCACGTGAAAAACTCCCAGCCCTTACCGGGGATTTAACCAGGAACCCAAACCGCGAAGTCTAACCCGGTCCACAAATGCCCGCAGAGGTCGGATGTGTTGGCCGAAAGGTGCAAATATCGCAGCCATGCCGTAAACGTACACAACGCAATTACATCTTCGGTTGAACGCAGAAGAAGAAGAACACAGAACCTCTAGCACTCGAGGCGGACAACATGCCTTGAGACCCCGTACTTCTATCAACCTACCATCAATTCATCCAACTACCATTGGCGACAAACATCCATCCATACCCTACACATCCACCCACCCACCCATCTATCTATCTATCTTTAACACACACAGAAAATATGACGAGCAGTTATGCACAACAAGACAAATACTGCATGATCGATTTTATAGAAAACAACATAGACTTCTACTGCGTCTGATGAAAAGCAAAACACAAACATATTTTGGTGTGACACACAGCAAACAAGTTCTGAATAGTCTATGAGGGTTTTAAATGTAAATAGTGACAAGATTACTATTGGAAAAAGGGGGGGGGGGGGGTGGAGGGGGATATTCTGCAGGTTTCTTATGCATATAAGACACTTACCGGTTTGTAGTTTTAAAATATGGCATATAACCGTCCCCCACATTGGGAGCGAGATGGAGAGAGAGAGAGAGAGAGAGAGAGATAGAGAGAGAGAGAGAGAGAGAGAGAGAGAGAGAGAGAGAGAGAGAGAGAGAGAGAGAGAGAGAGAGAATAATGGTCTGTGACAGTACCAGAAAAAGTGACAGAGGGACAGAAAAAAAATAGAGGGAGAAAAAAAGACAGAATTGAAATGGTCGGGGGAGGGAAGGGTGAGAAAGTGACCGAGCGACAGAAAAATTAGAAGAAGTGTGTGAGAGAACGAAGAAGAGAGAGAAAAGGAGAGCGTATTCCTCTTCTTCTTCTTCTTCTTCTTCTTCTTCTTTTTTCGTCGTCATCGTCGTTGCAATGGTTTCCAACTTGTATGTGAAATTATTCTACATATCTAATACCTTTCAGTGATCCTCAACATCTTCTGGAGGGATTCGATTAAATGGTCTCCCAAACCGGTAAGGTCAAGAGGTCAAGAACAGAGACAACCTGTTTCTCCGGAGGGTTGTCACCCCGCTCTTGTTGAACCTCATTTTCTTACCAAGTAATGTAAATGACCCTTTTCAACTTCTTGAGACGTATTGGGCTTATAGGGCTAGACCTAAATTTTATAGACCAGTCCGCACTCGGTGGGTGATGTGGTCAACATAATACCGGTCACCTTTACTTCCTAGAACTTTGCCTAGTACCCATTTAAGAACGGTGAACCTGGGAGCCAATGTCATGTTTTTTTTTAAAAATCCGTCCGAGTCTGGACCTGAACCCACGATCTTCGGATTTATAGGCGAGAGTTTAGCTGCTACACGACGGCGTTTTTTTTTTTTTTTCTTTATAAACAGATACACAAACCACTAAGCACCCCATCACCCCCCACCCCCGGTCCAACACTTGCGCCAAGACCCCCCCCCCCCCCCGTCCAACACACTTGCGCCAAGACCCCGCCCCCCCCCCCCCCCCCCCCCCCCCCAACACTTGCGCCAAGACCCCCCCCCCCCCCCGTCCAACACTTGCGCCAAGACCCCGCCCCCCCCCCGTCCAACACCTGCGCCAAGACCCCCCCCCCCCGTCTAACACTTGCGCCAAGACCCCGCCCCCCCCCCCCCCCCACTCCAACACTTGCGCCAAGACCCCCCCCCCCCCCGTCCCGTCACTTGCGCCAAAGACCCCGCCCCCCCCCCCGTCCAACACTTGCGCCAAGACCCCGCCCCCCCTCCCCCCCCCCGTCCAACACTTGCGCCAAGACTCCTTTTTTGGGGGGGGGGGGGCCTATGGTGCCGCCCTGCAGTGTTGAGTGATACACATTTTAAAGGTAGAGAGGGGTTGGCTCCACGGAAATGACATCACTGTTTCCTGCACAGCGATTTTTTTCTAGAGTGCGGGCAATGCTGGATAACAATTTCAATTATCGCATTAATTTATTTTACCAAGTTACCATTAATATTTTTTTGTGGTTACATCATACCGAAAAACCTATTTTTTAAACGCGTTTGCAGTGATGACCTAAAAAGAGAGTTTTTTCCCAGTCATAGTTTGTGCTGTATGTGGTATTCCGTTGATAAAGACTTTGGTCGAAACGTTTGGTTGTGTTCGTCTTTGTCTTTTCCATTCCCTCGGTTGAGGTTTCTAGTCAATTGTTCTGTTATATTCAGCGTTTGCGTTTACCCTTTTAATATGTCGGAAGGAAAGCGGCTGAAACACCCGCAAAAGCGGTGACTTTGAAACTTGTTTGTCAGCTCATTGGGCAAAAACGTGTGGCTGGTGATTACAAGGACATGGGAAAGAAAGGTTGCAAAATCTTCCAAGTATCTTTTTTTTTCTTCTTCTTATAGTCCATGCCGTGAAGCGTTGGTAGTCATGTCTATCCACAACCTTCCTTCTCTTATATTCCATGCCGTGAAGCGTTGGTAGTCATGTCTATCCACAACCTTCCTTCTCTTAGAGTCCATGCCGTGAAGCGTTGGTAGTCATGTCTATCCACAACCTTCCTTCTCTTATAGTCCATGCCGTGTAGCGTTGGTAGTCATGTCTATTCACAACCTTCCTTCTCTTATAGTCCATGCCGTGTAGCATTGGTAGTCATGTCTATCCACAACCTTCCTTCTCTTATATTCCATACCGTGAAGCGTTGGTAGTCATGTCTATCCACAACCTTCCTTCTCTTATAGTCCATGCCGTGTAGCGTTGGTAGTCATGTCTATCCACAACCTTGCTTCTCTTATAGTCCATGCCATGGAGCATTGGTAGTCATGTTTATCCACAACCTTCCTTCATTTATAGCTCAAGCCGTGTAGCGTTGGTAGTCACGTCTATCCACAACCTTTTTTTTTTCAAAAAGCCATGCCGTGTAGCGTTGGTAGTCATGTCTATCCACAACCTTTCTTGTCTAATAGGCCATGCCGTGTAGCGTTGGTAGTCATGTCTACCAACAAACACTTGTCTTGTGTACTTTCAACCACCTTTGATACAGACGATCTTCCATGCCATGATATCAAACTCTCTCGGTCTCCATCTCCCTCTCCTTCTCCCCCCCCCCGCCCCCTTTATGTCAACCCCCCTAAACTTTATCACGATGTACTCAAGTTTTCATCGTCACATGACATGGCCACAAAATGTAGATTGTCTCTTCTGATGTGGCCAATCAATTATTTTCGCAGATGGATTACTTTCAAGATATCTTCAGAAGTCCATTCGTCTGTCCTAAGTGTTCTTATTTATCTGTAAAACCCCCAACTCCGCCGCTTCCACATAATTCTTCCTTAGTCGGTTCAACTATCCTGGATTCACTCCAGTATATCAGGATACGATTTACATAGCTCTTGAGAATTCTCTTTGTCGTCTCAATTGAAAAAGAAAGATGGTATAGAAAGATTCTTCATTGTGTGAAATATTCCCATTGCTTGTGCTATTTTACATTTACATTCTTTAATACGAAGTATTTTTTGGTATGTAAATATATGAGGCTAACTTAATGTACATAACACACCACAGAGCGTGAAAACTGGATTTTTAGGATAGGTCGCTTATGTCGATAAACATAGAGTTGGAAATCCTACACAAATTTTACAGCACTCGTAGATGATATACACACATGGGGACCGTCAAAGGTGCTGTGGTGTCATTATCCTTACGTCGTATACGAAGAGACTGCAATACAGAGATGTAATGTTGCACAATGAAATGTCTAGTCCAGGCACCGACAACCCACAGCACCAGAGCAAGAGCAGCACGTGGAACGATTTTAAATGGCACGTTCATTATATTGAAACCAGTATCTTATATCATTAAACAGTTCGAGAGAAAAGTGTAATTCCTTTAAACACACATGATTTGTTTCAGTAACTGTTGTGTATGAATAAATATGATCTTAGACTTAGACAGATAGGGGACTACAAAGATAAGTAACTAGAAGAAAATGAGTGACTAGAAAGATAAGTGACTGTAACTCTGGCTTAGTCTTCTTTCTCCTTCTTCTGCCTTTCCATCCCCCAATGGAGCATAGGCCCTCAACCAACTCACGCCAAGTCGTTCTATCTGTCGCCATTGCATGGAGTTCTCCCCATCTTTCTAGCTTCATTCTCCAGCTCTCTTCTCCGTGTGTTTTTTGGCCTTCCTTTATTCCTTTGCCCCTGTGGGTTCCAATGCAAAGATATTCTAGTTACGCTTCTGACTTAGTAACAGTTTTACAAAAAAATCACCCAAATGCTCTGATCTATCTAGTAACCTCTAACAGGGATCACTTACCTCTTCATTATGATCCTCGTCAAAAGCTTGGATGGCAATGAGCATACTGAGACCCATCTCCACACAGCATTTAGCATGATCTGGGCAAGGGTTGGGACATCCAGAAACACAATAGTAGCAATCACCCAGGGTGCTGATCTTCTCACAGCCTGAAGCGTTACACAGCTTGTCAAACCTCCCAAAGAGGTCATTCAGGAGACCCACCAACCGTTCAGCAGTTTTGTTAGAGCTCATCTTAGTGAATCCCACAATGTCTGCATACAAGATACTGACGTTCTTCATCTCATCCATCTGAAACTTTCTGAAGATCATCTCTCCTTTGACGTGTCTAGATTTCCGGCGTTTTTTCTTCTCAGGATCATCATCATCGTCATCATCGCCGTCGTCTTTGGAAGGATGCGTTGCCATCACAGAGTTGGCAACAACCGGAGGCATCAGGGAGTGGATCATCTTCTCCTTGATCTCCTTCTCAACCATCAGGTCCTCCTGGGCCAACACTGACTGCCCAATCTTGGAAAAGTTGCTTCTCACGCGTGTGTTCGACATGATGTAGATAAATATCCCAATTAGATGAATTATCAGGTGCAAAAGAAGCTTGCAAACGATATAATCAACTTCGCACATCTGAGGAAACCTCAGGGCCGTAAACACTTCAGAAGACACAGACAGGAAGGCACCCAGTCCAACAGAGAAGTACAAATTCAGAGGAAGAAATGAGTATAATAAAATTAAAATCTCCACTACACCACAAAATGTTCCCACAGGAGAAATGTCCGGATTATGAAACACGAAAGGCAACTGAACGACAATCACTAAAATCAACGCTAAAAGAAAGCTAACAATCTTCGAGTACTGTTTAAACATTGAAGTGTAAGTGAACAAAAGTAATCCGTTCATTATAATAAACAATATAACAGAACCGCCGACAAAATACCTCCAATGGTCTGTTGGGTAATTAATCTGAATGAGTCCAAAAAACAATGCCCAGCATGCAGATGCAATAGCCACATAGTAAACAATACAGCGGAACAACCTCATGGCTTGAGGAAAGTAGCATTCGATGAGAAAGTTTTCGAGAATCTCACTGTCGAATCTGGGGTTAAACAAACTTCCATTTGACCGCTCGAACGGTTTCGGCAGAAAATGATAACCATGTTTCTTCCTTTTGTGCGTTTTGTTCGGATCATGAATGTTGACCTCAATGTGATCAGCTTGTGTTTGAGATCCTATATTGAAATTCACCCTAGCTTCCTTCTTCACATTTTCCCCGTTGCTGTTATTACTTTTGGCTGTCATTTTGCAAAGTTACAATCTTAGAATGCGAATCGATTCCAGCCGTAAACGATTTGACAGCAAACAGCTTTGTGTTGATTTTGAAAGTAATACAGAGCGCCGACCGTTGAGAGAGCAATGGCAAATCACTAAGCGTGAAATTGTCTGGTAAAACAGCAAACAGCCAACATATTCTGGGATTGATTCCGCACTGTTCACTATAGAATAGCAACTAATTGTATTACTTAAGACAGTCAAAGAATTAAATATAAAACAGCGGTAATTAAAAGATCTTATTCCTTGTGACATGCGAATGTGTTGACACAAGACCTAAATCAAGTATCTCCCGGCACGTGAAGAGAAAGAAGAAACACAGTAAACATTGGAAAATCCGCATGTGCTGTCACGCGCTGTTCACAAGACAAAACACAACTAATTCCGAACGGGGCATTTCTCGCCTGCACTCTCCTACTTCTTACCTAACCTAGACACACACAAAAAAAGGAATCTCTCGTGTTGAAACCGCACACATACACACACATACACCCATACTGGCCCTCGCACACCAGATGCTGAGGATGTTCTTGGTTACGACTGGCAAACGTTTACCTCTCGCTCGCGTTGTACGGCGCTGTAAGTTGGCGGGCCATCCAAGCATGAAGACACACAAACAGCTGTTTGGGGAAACGCCCCCTTCTGGCTTTTTCTGCACTTTATGGTTAATGTGTTCTGTAATTTGTGTCTATATTATCTTTTGCTCAGCTCTGTAGATGTGTCTATCTGCTGCTCTATCTATCTATCTATCTATCTATCTATCTATCTATCTATCTATCTATCTATCTATCTATCTATCTATCTATCTATCTATCTATCTATCTATCTATCTATCTATCTATCTATCTATCTATCTATCTATCTATCTATCTATCTATCTATCTATCTATCTATCTATCTATCTATCTATCTATCTATCTATCTATCTATCTATCTATCTATCTATCTATCTATCTATCTATCTATCTATCTATCTATCTATCTATCCATCTATCCATCTGTCCATCTGTCCATCTGTCCATCTATCTGTCTGTCTGTCTGTCTGTCTGTCTGTCTGTCTGTCTGTCTGTCTGTCTGTCTGTCTAGAACCATTTCATAGAATATCCGTCACCACTTCATTTCTTTAGTCACTCTGCCTCTCTGAGGACAATCAGTATATCAGTCAACGCTTCATTTCTTTAGTCTACACACACACACAAACACACTCACGCAGGCACGCACACATGCACACACACACACACACACACACACAGGCACGCACACATGCAGGCACTCACACACGCACACAGACAGCGACAAGATCGATGTTGACAAAAATATTCACATAAATGTATTGTTTGGTGTGTTAATTTGTTTACGCAGAAGCGCGAACAAGATCATTACCGAGTGGACAGAATGTTTTGGCCAGGAGTGACCAGGCGATTTGGCTGACACTGTTAACTTAGAGGCAACGGTAGATGGACATATAACCAAACAGCTACTGGTGCATTTAGAGTTAGAGCTCTTCGATGCCTGCTGAAGATAAGGATGGAACACGTATGGGAATGCCCCGAGTGCTGTAATTTAGGTTCATGACTCACTGTTACTCAACCCTACAACTCACACACTTTAGCTTTACGCAGTGCTTTTTTTAATGGTATTCACTAGTACGCAGTACCGGTACGTCATTAAACATCATTTTTTTTTCAGCACTACAGTTGTAGATACTTTGTGGTGCGTACCGGCACCTTTTATTAGACACTTTGTGGTGTGTACCGGCAGCCCTTTTTTTTGTGGAAAAAAAAATACCTGGTTATACATTTAATACTGCGTACTATTACTATTCATTACAGTACTAAAACTAACAACATTGAATTACAAATAAAACTTTCCACTATGTGTCCAAAAAAAAAAAAAAAAAAATGAATGCACTTATGTGTATACAAATATAACAGCTTAATACAACATGCATGGGGAAACTTACATCTATACAAAAAATAAATACGTGAAAACGTACACACACACACACAAACATATATACCCAGAAACCCAATAGTAATTTTGAAAATAGTCGTTATCCAATTTATGATTTCAATTGCGTACATGTAGAGTTATTCAAATACTTTGGTACTATTTTCAATGAAAGAAAGCCATTTAACACAAACGTGAATTACGAAAGTTTATGGGGCATTAAGTTGATTTAGCTGGCAATATATTCGCAACTCAAAGATGATAGCTTGTGCAGTCAAGTATGCGACACGTATAAATTAGTGAACATAGCAAATGTGTGCTTTTGATGGGGACACCCGTTTGGGGATTTCTCGGTACATTGAATATGTTAGTGCTCTTGTGGGGCCATAAGAGAAGCAAAATAATGCGAATAATCTAAATAGTCCGTTCAGGAATTCATGAACACTTTTGCAATATATGTTCTCAACAAAATAATGCGAATAATCTAGATAGTCCGTTCAGGAATTCATGAACACTTTTGCAATATATGTTCTCAACAACAACAAAAATACATGTTAGATCGCAATTATGTTTTGCATTCAGCCGTTCAATATCAATGTCGTAAGAATTGGAGCTATTCTTTATTCCGTAGATGCTCAGAGGGCTCTGTGTTGAGGGGCAGACGAAGTGCATGGGTTTTCGTAGCAAAGGCGAATGGACGTCGCATTGTGCAGCAAAGCTTTGCATGTGATATCACAACGTCTCGCTTGAGAATGCAGTCTCTGCTGCCTTCCACTGGCTTGAGAATCAGCTGTACACACATACCGTGGATGTAACTGACTCACAGAGCATATTGAGAAAGATGAAAATAGGCATACTTCGTGCAGAGTGGCAAGCATCCCTTCAGAGGTCCTGGGTAGTTAACATTCTTTGAATATTTTCTCCACGGATGCCGATATGCTGGAAAATTAGCAGCCAGATAGACTGGTTGGTTCTGCACCACTTGATGGTGAATTGATGTATGTCAAGTTAGATATTGTGAGGGCCCTTTGGGAGCGAGTGAACAGTGCGGAGGTGTATATAGATCATTGCGGTCTGGGGAGAATGGCACTGCCAGGAGTTACCAGGGGATCTGACCGACGCTCAACACTCAGGGGAAGGATGAGACGGATATACAATCAGACGGTTACTGGTACCATCGAAAATGGAACTCTTCGCTTGCTGCTAAAGATGGGGACTGAGCACTTATATGATTGTCCCGAGTGCCGTTGTGTCGATTTTTAATTCAAAATTTAATATTCAACATACAGAGACACACACACAGACGGAGTCATGCAAGGAAATCCAGATACAGACACAGACTTTCAGAGGCATACACACAGTCATAGAGAGAAAAACAGAGAAAGACAAACAGAGAAAGATAGACAGACGGATAGACAGAAGCAGAAACACACATACAGAGTCAACAATTTAAAGTCGTACAGTGACAGAGGAGTACAGAGTAATGCAGATACATACAGAGAAACAGAGGCAGACATACACAGAGAATTACTAGGACAGAAATAGAGACAGACAATCGCAGATCAGTCACAGCCAATCTTTACAGTGAAGCACCTACTTTTTTTTACTAAACCCCACATGATAGTTACTATAGCTGGCCAACTCACATACCCCCCCCCCCCCCCCCCCTGTTTCACACACTCAAACACCCTCCATACGCACTTACCCACACACGCACACACATACACACTCACCCACTCACACACACACATTCACACACCCACAACCACTCTCTCTCTCTCTCTCTCACTCTCTCTCTCTCTCTCTCTCTCTCTCTCTCTCTCTCTCTCTCTCTCTCTCTCTCTCTCTCTCTCTCTCTTTCACATACACTCACACACACCACACGCGTCGTCCCGATTCCGTTACCAGAAAACAATAACCGGTCCCTGAATATGAACCGGGTTCCTTCATTGTTCCAGTTGTACAGTAACCGGTGTGCGTCGTGACATGGCAGGCTCCGAATTTAGGCGGTGAAAACAGGCATTTCCTACCCAGTAATTATATCCCTATTATCATTCCCAAGTTGACATTTTGCCGAGTATTTTTGGCCAGTGTATGTTTTCTAGCAAATAAAAGCCTAATGTGCTTAGTGAATATTTATTTCTTGTTCGTGAGAACTGACATTGTTCTATTTGTGTCTGTGTTGTTGGAGTGATTCGATTAATTGGTTTACTTTATTAACTGCACCAAAGTGTGAGAATATACTATTTTGTTGATGCTTGTTTTTAATTTAATCGTTTATTTTGTGCCGAAATTCTTCTTCTTCCCATTCTTCTTATCATCATCATCATCATAATCATCATTATCATCATCATCATCATCTTCATCATTATTATTATTGCAATTATTATTATTATCAAAATAAAGTTCGTCCTTTCGTTTTTCTTCTTCTTCTTCTTCTTCTTCTTCTTCTTCTTCTTCTTCTTCTTCTTCTTCTTCTTCTTCTTCTTCTTTTTTTCTTCTTCTTCTTCTTCAACTTTTTCTTCTTCTTCTTCTTCTTCTTCTTCTTCTTCTTCTTCTTCTTCTTCTTCTTCTTCTTCTTCTTCTTCTTCTTCTTCTTCTTCTTCTTCTTCTTCTTCTTCTTCTTCTACTTTTTCTTTTTTCTTCTTCTTCTTCTTCTTTTTTCTTTTTCTTCTTCTTCTTCCTCGTCTTCTTCTTCTTCTTCTTCTTCTTCTTCTTCTTCTTCTTCTTCTTCTTCTTCTTCTTCTTCTTCTTCTTCTTCTTCTTCTTCTTCTTCTTCTTCTTCTTCTTCTTCTTCTTTCTTCTTCTTCTCTTCTTCTTCTTCTTCATCTTCTTCTTCTTCTTCTTCTTCTCTTCTTCTTCTTCTTCTTCTTCTTCTTCTTCTTCTTCTTCTTCTTCTTCTTCTTCTTCTTCTTCTTCTTCTTCTTCTTCTTCTTCTTTTTCGTCGTCATCGTCGTTGCATTGGTTCCCAACTTGTATGTGAAATTATTCTACCTATCTAGTACCTTTCAGTAATCCTC